AGAATTAAACCCAATTGAATTAGGAAGCAGGGAAATTCAAACCTGAATTTTAATACACTTATGACCAAAGTATGTATGGCCCAAGTCTAAGCAGCAATAAAAACCAGCTTCTTTTCCAGCATATACAGGTATTCGACACACAGTAGAGAAAACAAGACAGTGCTCTACCACAATGACTTGTGCTTGGTGATTTAAGGTTTTCCCTGAATCTAAAGGAGCTGTGAAATCTCTTGTTGTTATATCATCCATAACTTTAGCATGAATGAGGTAAATTTCATATCATTATACGATTACATTGAAAGTTCAGTGAAAACCCCAGTTACCAAAACCAAATTCAACAACAGCATTAATTAATCAGAATTTGTTTTTCCCCAGACATAATTCTTTCAGGAAAAGCACTGAATGACATAACAAGCTGGTACAAGGTGCCATCGCACACAAGTGTGCACACACGAACAGCTGTTTTGGGGGATGCTCTGATCTCCCACAGCTCCTTCTCCCTGTACAGTTTCAGGCAAAAATCACTCTGTCACAAAAGCATAACTTAATGATTCCAGTACTGAATGAGAAAAACAGCAAGCTAAGTTCCATTTTCTTCTTTAGAGGACTGTGAAAAAGGAAGTCTCATGAGACTGCTTGGTAGAAGACGACTTTATTATTCATAGGTTCGCAGCATGAGAAAATTCACTATCTCTCACTTCATATTTTCAACAACAAATTGTGATGTGGATAAGCATAAAAAGCTTCAGACACCTGGAAATTTGTATTTGAGAGAGCACACACACAGGTGGGCATGCACANAATTTTTTTTTTTAATCCCTTCGAAACCTACTTTTTGGAGAATGAACATGCTCCACTGGAGTAGCTGACCAGCCAGATGAATGGACACCATGCTTACTTTACATTCACTGGTTGAAACCCATCATTTACCTGCCACCACAGGAGATTTCCGTTCATCCAGGAGCTGGATGGAGGTACTCGCTGTCACCACGTTACTTTTGTTAACTGTTCCTGTATAAGGAAAAAACACCACAACAAAAATGGAGATAGTTGCAGTGTGCACGTTAAGAGAATAACCACAATGGTCCACAGTCACCAATTCTACACATTGTTCTGCAGGTTGGCTCCCGGAACCCAGGGTCCTCTGGGCTGTGGGTGTTCTGCCTCCTCTGTTAGGCTATTAGCATGGTCTGGACAGTCCTCTTGGTTGAAGAGAAGCAATGCACTGAGTTATGACCGCCCAGACTGGAAAACGTCCGGCCTCTTCACATCAAAATCATTGACCAACGTGGAGGGACCGCATTTTTTGGTAATCTGTGGTTAGTAATTGCAGGTTTCCTTGTGTCAGTAGTCATATTTATATTGCATCTCTAAATATAGCCATAAAGAGCTGTATGAGAACTTATCTGAATAAGAATCATTTGAAATTATTTTATAGTAATTTGGCAACTTTAGCTCTGATTCGTTCGTTAAATCTTTACTGATCTATAAAATTCTAATTTCAAGCCATTCTAAACAGGGAGAGAGGTGGAATGCAACCTTTACTCTAAATTCTTACTAATCTGGTAATAATATGGCATTCGGGTTAATTGAGATTTTTTAATTACTGAGAATGGTTCTAATACACATGGATAAAAAGATGCTGAGCACAAATTCTCAATGCCCACAGTTAATAATTGTTAGTCCATAATGGGGACAAAACTAGGCTATCTAACCTAAGTGATACATTGTGTAGTACATGCATGTGTTGAAACAACACGCTGTATCCCACACAAATATACATAGGTAAAA